TCTCCAAGGCTAAGGAATGTAAATATAAGTAATTACTATGGTCAATCAGTGAGCTTTCACCTCTTGAGATCTTGCTTCCAAAGCTAGTTTTAGGGAGTCACAGATAAACTAATTATTCTTCATCTTTTTTTATTTATTCACCTCTCCAAGGCTTTATCTTCTCTCTTTTTTTTTTCTTTTTTTTTTTCTTTCTTTCTTTCTTCCTTCTTTTTTTTTTTTTTTTTCTTTTTCCTTCTTGTTTTGGTTCCAAATTTATGGAAGGGCAACAACAATGGCAGGGGCAATACAAACCCATGCTAAGTGGCAGTAGCAGAAATGTGTGCATACACCTGAGTGCATGCAGCTGGGTGGGTGAATGAGGAGGAAGATGTGCACCAGTGTTCACAGAGTGTTACAGCCAGCTGCAGGAAAATAGATAGGAGGTTTTCTCTTTCCTTTATATAAAGGCTCTTATTAGGTTTCCAGAAAAAGTGTGTTGAAAAGCTTACTTTTTCTCTGCCGATTTGCTGGGGGTTTGACAGTCTCTGAGCAAGTTTTACGATTTGGTTGGGATCAAGAAAAATCCTCAGGCTTATGAAATTCTCTTTGGCAACAAACTGAAAACTCAGCATCCTCTGATGGCTCTGATTCTTATGTGATCAGGGACATTAATGATAATGACCCTTTGCTGAGTATGCTACTTGTCTAGAGGCCTATGTCAGCTACACCACTACCTTCAGAGTGGACAGGGACAAACTATTTATTTGCTCTTCAGGCCCCTTGGGCCCTGTCATATGCTATTTGTTCTTGCATTAAGAGGTAGTTTGACTTAGCTGGGTTGACATTTCCTTCAACTCGGTGTATTCCAGTCTTGCAGTAGCTGCTACCAAAGCGGTAAGTGAGGACTTGGACCCCAGTAACAGTCCTTTTAAGTTGCTTTTCTGATTTAAATCCAGGACTTTTCACATTTTTACTGCTCACTCTAGAATCCAAAGTAATATATATTTTTTAAAGCTAGTGTTATTAATACTCTGTGTGATAGACCCACCTCACATTTAACTTGGTTGTCCATTTGTAATATACATCAGAAACTGTGACTGAGATAATGAAGTGATTTGTTATCACTTCATGATATGAGGCGTCTAATGGTTCTGCTTTCCCTTCTATGCCTTACGAAGGAGGAAATCTGATATTCCATATCTCACTATTATTCTGCTACTCACACTGTTTTTTCTCCTTCTATTTCCCACTCACATTTTTTTCCTTATCCAATAGGATATCCCTGTGTTCACATCCCCAATGGAGAAGCGTCCTTTTTTTTTTGTCTTTCTTGGAGTTTTAGCTACATGTGGAGAAGGCATATGCTCCTGTGACTTTAATGAGTCTGATGATGTAAATCAGACAGAAAGCAGTCATGGCAATGTAGAGTGGCTCAGTATTTTTTTAGTTAATTTGCATTTATAGCTAGAGTTGCAATTAGAAGACTTGTCCCTGAGTGACCACTTGGTTCTTCCAAAGTTGTATCACAATGATTCTGTTGATGTCACTTGATGTGATGCAGGATTTAGTCAAAATAGTGACTTTCCAACTGTGAATCTCACCCATTCCTGATGTCTGCAGAGAATATTTGATAACCCACTATCTGTTTCAGTTAGCAATTTATTGGCATCTATAGGCAATAGTATAAAAAGGTGCTTTCAATCTATGCAATTGGCAATATGGATTTATCTGCAAGTCAATTTCAAAAATTCTGATCTTCTGATGAGTCCAACATAAGCACCTCTCAGACCTGTGCCCACAAGTCTCCAGAGCATAACTATGACCTGGCTTCTGTCCTCTGACCACAAAAGTCGCAAAGTTTTATCTTACAGAATGAGATGATTTGCCTCAGCCACCATGGACATCTAAGACCTGTGCAATATTTTCAAGATTGGGCATTCAAGATGTAGGGCTGTTCAGGAAATGATTCTAAAGTCATAGCTCTAATTACAATTTACAAATGAGTTTTGCACATGTTATTCTTTCCTTACATGCTCCAGCCTTCCTGCCCACCATCCGCCTCCAGATCTGGGACCATAGCTGAGGAAACTGCTAAGTAACCAGCTGTTTGTTGTTCAAGCAGTAGGGTGAAGGTGGCTTTGAAAAAGAGCTTTTAAAATAAATTCGGGGGAAAAAAAATGTGAAGGTAAAAAAAAATTGTGAAGGTAAATATCAGCTACAGGCATGACAGTGCTTTCACTGTTTTATCTCTTGTGTACTTTTAGCTGACATTCAGTAAAGATTTCAGGGCAGGAAAGCAGATATCTGTCAATTTAGATAATTTACAAGTATATAAAACAGCAGATAATATAAGCCACCTTTCTTTATGGGAAAGAGAAAACAATCTGCCCATTAGATTTGCAATGAAGTTAAACAGAGTTTTCTTCTGATTCAATCAGCTTTCCCTTATTTAGGACCTTGAACCAAAGTTAAGTCACTGTAGATAAAGGACATGACAAAGACTACTGGGGCTGGGCAGAGTCTGAGGGTGCCAATATGGGGCCGGTGAATAAATTTAGCAGCAAGCGAGAAGAGGAAGAAAACAGCGACTGGATCTGGAAGCCTGGCAAGTTCTCCACGCGCTGCTCGACCTGTATTTAGCAATTCTGATGTGCTACTGAGCAGACAGCTCAGGCTCAGGACGACTACTCTCCCTCAGTCCCTCTTCAGCAGGCAATGAAAGCAGGCTCCACTTTGAAAATCTTCCCCCATCATGCAAACTGACACAGGCATGCTTTTCAAAAACCCACAGCCAATCTGTTGATCATTACTTATTTACAAAGGCCTTCGGGCAGAAAGTCCTGTAAAAACCATACTTGATACGGTATACACTAGCTTTTTCTGCTTGTGGAAAAAAAGTACCCCTAAGGCTACCTCAAACCATCACTTTCTATTGCACATAAAATGTACCGTGTAACACTAAAGTATTTAATATATATGGTATAATATATCTACAGGAAAGGCATTTGTGTAGAAGTATGTTACCCTGTATTTGGTAATTTGATGTTTTGCTGAAGGCTATGACTTGAAAAAGCCTGCACCTAGTACAGAGGACCTGTCATCTCAGTACCCAAGAGCCAATAGAATAAAGAAGTACCCTTAAGCAGCAAAACTTTGACACAGCTTTGAAGCATATGAAAACAGTATAACTCCCCAGAATTATTATTACTCAAGATCAAAGAAATGAGGCATACTTTACATAGCAAACAGGGACAGTGCTCGGCTCCAAATGTTACAGCTCTCTCGCTCTTTCTTTTTATTTTTATTTCCCCAAAATTAAGATTGGGGAGGGGAGAGTCTCCTGCATTTTTAGAACTTGAAATGGATAAAACTATTAGCAGGAGATAACAAGAACGCCCAAAGGTGAGTAAATTGAAAATGATGCTAGCATGACAACTGGTGTCACAAAATGAGAAGCTTGCCAGTATGCTCATTTTATTCCTCCTCATAAACTGTAAACAAGCATGTAAATCAGTGTCATATGGGCAAGGCTGAGCTAACAGGAAGGCAGAGAACTTTTAATGATACATTTAACAGAAATAGATGGTCAATGGGGGGGAAAAAAAAAAAAAAGACACAGCTGGGTGCATTTTAGCCTGTGAATCAATCTCACTTTTGGTTCTGTAGTCTAAACAGAAATGAAGACGACTTGTAGAAGTTATGTCCTTGAATATGCCCTAGAATGCAGTAGCAATAAACAAATATGGATGCTTCCTTAACTGGCCAAGGAAATTCCCAGTCTACTGACTGAAATACAGAGAGGAAAATTATCTAGCTGTATTCAGAATTCTTAAAGGAACAAAGTCATTGCTAACAGTAGTAAGTGATTATATATAAATAACTAAATATTCATATTAACTTTTTCTCACATACCTTTCCTGATTGAAGATCAGAGTTTCCGTACTAACGCATACACCCCCAAACTGCATGAATGTGTCTGTTTATATATGCAAATAAGCTTGCATTTGTCTGTATGTATACTAGTAGAAAATCTTGGCTATGAAATTTAGTTCTGGATAAAAATTACGGATGGAGTTATCTAGCCTGGCTACTTGAGATACACACAATCCGAGCAGGAACAGCCTGCTTGCGGAAAACTCCACGGCTGGTATCTGATCTTGTGCTGATTGACTTGAGCAGGCAAAGGGTGAAGCACAGCAAGAAAGAATGGAAATGCCTCGCTATTTTAATGGATTCCAATTTTCCTGTTGCAGTTCTATTTTTAACAAATCTCCTTAGAGGCAAATTGTCCTATCGAAGGAAACTAATAGTTATACAAAGTCCTACTGTTGTACATATAGAAACAGGGGGGAAATATCACTAACAAGATGATGTTTTCATCATCCACTTTTGGAGTATATACTATCCTTTAAAAAATCCTTGTATTCCATAATTAATGTGCTTTCAGCCTGAGTAAAACTGCATTAGTTTTGAACTTTGCTTTGGCAAGTACATAGATTATTAGACTTTTTTTTATCAGTCTAAATCAATTAATAGAAATTTGATTTCAATCGACAGGATAAAAGGAAGGTAATATTCAGGTTCATTTTTGATTGTGATGATACATCTCACATATGGCCTTAAGTACAGAAAACAGTACTCAGAGGGAATCCAACAAAAAGAGACTTGCCTGAGGCAAACTAACCACAGGAGTTCCTCTGATTGGTTAGTGCTATCATTAGTGCCACTGCTGTTTAAGAACTACACACGGACAGGACAGGGTGACAGCTAAGACTTTAAAGCCTATGTATTTTTCAAACAGCTTTTCAAACTGTTTTTCATGACAGAATTTTTTTCAGCTCTATCATTAACTGCTGACAAGCTGACAGAATAAATACTTCAGCCTTTCAGAAACCATCTAAGATTTTTTTTTTTTCCCCCCTCACCTCTTCCCCTTATTTTTGATGTGGGGCGGGAGGAGGGGGGGAGAACAGGAAGGAGGGAAGAAGGCGGATGAAGACAGGAGTTTCTTACAGTCTTACCTCATCAGTTTGGGTGAGGAGTTGGGTGAATTTCGCATGCCTCCATTTCGCTGCTTTTTTTTGGGTGAGAGCGTTGACGGCTGCTCATCTTCAACTGGAAATATAAGGAACTCATGAGATTAGGTACTGCTCTAGGTGCAATACAAAGTACAAGTGAAGTAGCAAAGAACACACACTCTATGTTCATTCACGCACTGATACTTCACTGCTAACATAGTCCCAACAGTAATAAAAATCAAATACATGTTAGTCAAAGAGATTGGTTTGAAGGAGAAGGAGAAGCAGGGAAGAATACCAGGGTTTTGAACACAGGCGTTCAAATTGGTTTCATACTTCAAAAACAAAAGAGGGGAACCACATTCGGGTTATTCTTAGAGTTATTTTCAGTTAATCTGTGCTACAGAAGAGTAGAATTAGTGCTCTGCTCTATTTCCAGAAAGATAAAGTGCTGTTTGCAATACCAACATAACAGCTGCCAGCCTGCTTTTGCTAATGAACCAGACACCAGTTGGTTCTTGCTCTTCACATGTCAAACAGCAGAGTCTTCATGAAGAGATGTAAAATATTCAATGCCTTGATGTTCAATGATTCAGTTAGCTGGGGCTGGGAGTGCTGCCTGCCATTGCGCACAGCTCAGACCTCCTCACTGCACCCTTCTCACAAAGGGGAGCTGCCACCGCAGCAGGGAACACAATGAGGGTGAATGGAGGTGGGGAGACAATACCTAGAGAACAGGATGCACGTGCTACGCCATCTTTTAATGAGGATGAGGAGCGTTTCCAATGACAAATCGGTTTCCGGATGTAAAAATCACTTACGATTTTGACAGTCAGAACTACTCTTGGACAACTTATGTCATAATACTCATTGCTTAAACAAGTGCAGCTTCCTAATAACTTATCTGTAAGTATTAACCATCAGCTTTATGGTTTTAAGATGGAGACTGCACTTAAAAATTTTCACAAAAAGGTTGCATCACTTGTTTTCAAAGGGAATTGCCTTACTCTGCTTTCTCAAATTCAGACTAATGCTGAATTATCATAAAAAAATATATATATCCTTTTCCATCTATTGTCAGCTGAAAAACAAACTAGCAGATAATGCAACTGAGGCCTAGGAAGCTGTTACTCTAGAGTCAAAAGGAAAAAGATTAGTAGTAGTAGTATCTGTATTAAAGAAGCTTAATACACATTAGCAGTGCACAAGCAGAGGCTGCAAAAAAAATTCAATTTGTGATGAGCTATGTAGGAACAGCCTAAAAAAGCAAACCTGGACATATGTCACCTGCTCTAGATTTATCTAGGAACAAATTAAGCAATATCCTTCTGCAATAACCCTCTCTGACACTATTTTATTACAGTCTGCATTCTAGCCTGTCATGTCTGTCTGGGTTCCACAATCTGCTATGGAACTTCATTTTGCCTTGACCAAGACTGAAGGCCTGGGCCCTGAAAAGACAGATTTCCTGTCTTTTTAAATGACCTCGCATCACCTAAAGCATCCAGGAAGTTAAAACCAAACACTGAATAAAAACCTTAAAAAAAAAAGAAAAGAAAAAACAAAAACAAAATGGGAATATATAGGACTATACCTATATTTAAGCAGTGTCTGTCTTATAATGATTTATTTTACTAGCTTAACTTACTTTCTTTTCCTTTAAAAACTCCCAAAGACAAAGTTATTTTCTTCAGATTTGACTATTTCTCTTTCTCTCTCTCTCTCTTTTTTTTTTTTTTTCTCTCTTCAGAGTCCAGTAGTGCAAATGCTTACCAGTGACTGGTTAAGTACCATTCTTTGTTTGTCTGAGAGCTAAGTACACAGAAAATTATCAAAAACAAACAGTTTGAAAATTGCTTTACACGAGAGTTTGTTGGAATTAAACTGGATCACTTCAATATTTAGCTATTTGTTTCCTTAAGTGAATAGTTACAGAATTATTTGTTAAGAGAATTTTCCCATTTCAGATTATTTTAATAATGTCATTGTTTGCACATCTCATAGAATCTCCTGCAAATCACTCTCTTCAAAATGGCATAGTCTTGTTTAACTGGTTCATCAAGAAATTATTCACGTGATATTCCACACAGGCAATAAGCTGTATTCAAGGTATAAACCACGGTCCCTTGTTCTTTATTGGGTATAAATATTCACTTCTAATCTGGTGGACTCACCACTTGAAAGATCAAAGGAATAAGAAACACACAAAACGTTCCTCTACAGAAATCAGCTACAAGTGATATGTTTCTACTTTTGGTAGCAAAATATCTAAGTTTCACTTTATTTGCACTGATACCACACGGTCTCAGAATGTTTGTCATGGATTCAGCTTCTATAAGAAAAGAGTATTGTTCTGTTTTTTTCACTAGTATAAAGAAGCTCTACACTCATCAGGATTATTTGCCAATGTATTTTAGTAGAGGACAACTTAGATTTTATTACAGTCAAAAATATTTCTATAAAAAAATGAAAACATTACTACGTAAGAGTACTTTTTGAAGTTTTTAGCTAGTTAATAAGACTTACGCCCAATCCTTTCAAATGCTAGAAGTTAGTGCTATATGGATCTTTTGTCATGCATGGCCCAGCATCTTTTTATTTAATTGTTTTTATTTTACTTCTTTCTTCTCCACAGCTATTAGCCACTACCCTGCCAGCCAATTATAAAACAAATTCTTGGCCAAAATCTTAGTATAAGACAAAATCAAGTAATCATCCAGAATGGTAGAACTAGATTTTATCAGTCCACAGTCATTTTTCATACCTCATCTACAATAAACAAACTCCTTTTGATAAGTGCTTGTCATCTCCACACTATGCAACTGTCAGGAATTACCTGTAAAGCCCAACATTAACATGGCTCACAAGCTAATACCTGTTAGCAAACCTTCTCTGAGCTTGCTAAAACTGTGCCTTGCTTAAGCAAGGGAGCCATTTATCTTCATTGCAGCAATGAAAGATGATCTATCTTAATCATAGCACATTCAAACTTTTGTTTTTTCAATGAAATCTGCACATAGAGTTTAGACTGCATCTGCAGTTCAGAGATGCCATTCCATAAAATGAGGAAAGGCAATATATGAAACCGAAATATATGAATGGTTTGTAATGATGACTATTACCTATGGCTTTCATCCCAAAAGTGTTGAAATGGTAGCTCACAAGTGACTTCTTAGTCATAAGTAGGATATAAAACATATTTAATTATTATCCTTCAGATACTCTTATCAATTTCCTGCATATTTAAAGAAACAGATCTAGTAAAATTTTTGCAAAGCCGTAAAATATCATTTTCATTTCATAGTTCCCATGTCTACATGATAGGAATAAAAATTAAATTAAAAGGGAGTCTTAAATGTACTTGTTCTCACGAAGACCACCATATTTGAATAATGGGCTGTGATATATGACAACTCAACTCTGATGTTGTATGTTTGACCTAGTGCTTTTGTTAATGAGAATGTGCCCCATTTTTTTGTAGTTTGATGTCTTTATGCTACAGGAGTTTTATCAAAACGCAGTCATATCATATTATGAAGACTTTCTTCACCAGCTTTCACAAGAAGTGCAAATAAGTTCAAGAATTTTAGAGAACCTGAACTCAATCCAGTCTCTAAATTGTAAAATTCAAGAGCCTGTTTTTGCGCATCCCTTAATATAACGCTTAATATGCTGTTGTAACAAGCCAGTGCTCACTTCTCTAATAGGCACAGAATCTCACAGTTTTACAGTTCAGGAAGACTCAGCGCTAGAAAAATGTCAGGCAAGTCTAATGAGGCTTCAGATACTCTGGTTTATGCTGGAGTTTAATTTAAAGTTACACTGATGTTTTAACATGTTTGCTTATTCTTGAGTAAAGAGGATTCATTATTTCAATGACATAACCTCCAGACAATCTTCCATGAATTGATTTAAGATGTGCTGGTAATTTTAACAGCCTTAATGTGGAAACATCTGTAACAACATATCACTTGACTTTTATCCTCATTTCATTTTTTCAGCAAAATAAAGGGAATGTCTTTCAGAAACAGTGGGCAAGTTCATAACCTTTTCCTTTGTTAATTTGTGACCATTTTTTAAATAAATCTGTCTCCTTCACTGCCTTGTCAGGTCACTAAGTACACTTTACAAACGCTGTTTTTTAAACTCAAGAAGGAGCTAGAATTTTGAATAACATTTGCATTACTGAACATTACACAAACTTGAATACCTGGTAAACTCATTTTTCCTACAGCGTAAATGCTTCGGAGCAAATAATCCAAATGGAAGATAAAGCACAAACCACCCAGAAACATTAGTTGAATAGCTATCTTGATTAACTTATTAATCACCACATCTGGAGAAACCCACATCTGTAAGCACTTAACAGAGCATTAGTAATGTCATAGCCACATCGAAAACAGACTGCAAAACCATGCACAAACCAATCTGTATTGCCTTGTACATCCAACTAAGGGGCTACCTACGGAGATCTTGGTTCAACCCAGGCTTTTGGGAGTGGTAGCGGTATTTTACAGGCAGGCTGAGAGCCCTTTGCAATCTACAGTAGGTAGATTTTCCTTGTTCAACAGAACTCTGTAAGTTAAGGTGCAGCAGCGAGGGATTGTTGGGTAGAAAGAGACTCCCTTTACGGTTATTAACAAGTGGAACAGGTTCCAGGACTCCTTCAGTGGACTTGGCACCAACCAAAGAATTAGTAGTTGCGTCCTTGAATTGATATGAACCTTTTGGGTAACTTGATCTAGCTGCATTCTTTACTTCTAAATAATAAAAAAAAAAAATGTAAATTAATGTCTTTGTAGTAAAAATTATTTCAAAAGCATGAATCTATTTTGATATCATTTGGAATCACAGGCTTTAAAGCTTAAAGTAGCAGTTTGCATAGTTGAAATAAAGGTTTATACCTGCAGCTTTCTTAAGCTTTTTTTTTTTCTTTCCTTCCTACAGCTTTTTATAAAAAGAATACTTATAAAAGGATTATTCCACAATATTATCATCTTTAAGCAATAATCCTATCCTAGGGTAAGTGTGTCTGAGGGAACATTTATTTCCCCCATGTTGATAAAGGCTTCAAAATTTATGCAGAAGAAGTTTATT